GTGAACATTTCGCTATGACACTTTGAAGCAATGTAGCTCAGATTAAACAAGGAGTCAATTGACCAAAGGTCAAGGTCACTGGGTCAAAGGTGAAGGTTAAATTTTGTACCTTTTCCTTGATGAACATTTTGTTATGACATTATGAAGCAATGTTGTTCAGAACTTAACACAGAGTCAACTGACCTTAGGTCCAGGTTACGGGTTTCAAAGGGTCAAGGTCAAGTTTTGTATTTTCACTGATGAACATTTTGTTATGATATTAAGGAGCAAAGTTGGTCGGAATTAAAGAATAAGTCAACTGACCAAAGATCAGGGTCACTGGGTTAATGGTCAAGGTCATTTGGGTCCAAAGGTCAAAGACAAAGTGGATCTCTGACTTTGACCCTGGCTCTTGATGGAGGAGGTATATAAGGTTAAATAAAACAAATCAAAACTAACAAATGAGTATTGCACCGGTATTTACATTTCTGTTAGTCCAGCAAATATGGAGGTGGAAGGAAACAAGACTCACATCATAGTACATGTAAAATATATATTTTGCTTCCTTGCAATTCTTTTTGAAGTCCACATATCAAACGTCAAGCTCAGCTATATGGGCAGATTGCTTCTTGATGATTATTGGGGATATATTGCCACAAGACGGGGCCCTTACTGACCTGTCAGTGTTCTAGTTACAAGAGTGATTAATATAAGTCGAAATTCTGTGTTTCATAAATGCTGTAAAATAAATAAAGTTAACATATATTCAGGTAGACTAACCGCTGGGTACAGCTTTGAAAGAGGTCATATTTTCTGAATTATGTTTATAAAAATTTACTGTTAATGTAAACATACTTATATTTACGGTGTTCTTACAGCACAGAGCTAATGTTTTGTTTCAATTACAGCTATATAATCAGTACTGCCAGATAGTGGACGGTCAGGGAGTGTCAGCCGGGTCTGAGGCTGACTCCAGAGGTGGGGATCTGTACCTGGTGCCCGGCCAGACCAGGCTCTACACCTTCAGCTTTCTCCCACTAAAGGATGATGTGGAAACACAGCTCGAGGTAAAACTTTGTTTCTCAAAGTTAATGTTCTTTTTATATGGAAGGGATACATGTGCGTTGTAATATTGATAGTATACTGTGTGTTCTTAATGCAACTGATGGCAGCGATATTCAATATGTAAGTAATTGTAATTTTAAATTGCCTTGAAATCTTACTGATGAATATATTGCAGATAGGATGACGAAACACTCATGTAAAGTTGCCTTGTTTTTGAGTAGATATCGTCTCTGGTGTTAGAGCTTGGATCAGAGGCGGTATGCTGTGTGATGTTACAGTGGATGTAAAGTTGCCTTGTTATTGTGTATACGTAGATATCGTCTCTGGTGTTAGAGCTTGGATCAGAGGCGGGACGCTGTGCGATGTTACAGTGGATGTAAAGTTGCCTTGTTATTGTGTAGATATCGTCTCTGGTGTTAGAGCTTGGATCAGAGGCGGGACGCTGTGCGATGTTACAGTGGATGTAAAGTTGCCTTGTTATTGTGTAGATATCGTCTCTGGTGTTAGAGCTTGGATCAGAGGCGGGACGCTGTGCGATGTTACAGTGGATGTAAAGTTGCCTTGTTATTGTGTAGATATCGTCTCTGGTGTTAGAGCTTGGATCAGAGGCGGGACGCTGTGCGATGTTACAGTGGATGTAAAGTTGCCTTGTTATTGTGTAGATATCGTCTCTGGTGTTAGAGCTTGGATCAGAGGCGGGACGCTGTGCGATGTTACAGTGGATGTAAAGTTGCCTTGTTATTGTGTAGATATCGTCCCTGGTGTTAGAGCTTGGATCAGAGGCGGGACGCTGTGCGATGTTACAGTGGATGTAAAGTTGCCTTGTTATTGTGTAGATATCGTCTCTGGTGTTAGAGCTTGGATCAGAGGCGGGACGCTGTGCGATGTTACAGTGGATGTAAAGTTGCCTTGTTATTGTGTAGATATCGTCCCTGGTGTTAGAGCTTGGATCAGAGGCGGGACGCTGTGCGATGTTACAGTGGATGTAAAGTTGCCTTGTTATTGTGTAGATATCGTCTCTGGTGTTAGAGCTTGGATCAGAGGCGGGACGCTGTGCGATGTTACAGTGGATGTAAAGTTGCCTTGTTATTGTGTAGATATCGTCCCTGGTGTTAGAGCTTGGATCAGAGGCGGGACGCTGTGCGATGTTACAGTGGATGTAAAGTTGCCTTGTTATTGTGTAGATATCGTCTCTGGTGTTAGAGCTTGGATCAGAGGCGGGACGCTGTGCGATGTTACAGTGGATGTAAAGTTGCCTTGTTATTGTGTAGATATCGTCCCTGGTGTTAGAGCTTGGATCAGAGGCGGGACGCTGTGCGATGTTACAGTGGATGTAAAGTTGCCTTGTTTTTGAGTAGATATCGTCTCTGGTGTTAGAGCTTGGATCAGAGGCGGGACGCTGTGCGATGTTACAGTGGATGTAAAGTTGCCTTGTTATTGTGTAGATATCGTCCCTGGTGTTAGAGCTTGGATCAGAGGCGGGACGCTGTGCGATGTTACAGTGGATGTAAAGTTGCCTTGTTATTGTGTAGATATCGTCTCTGGTGTTAGAGCTTGGATCAGAGGCGGGACGCTGTGCGATGTTACAGTGGATGTAAAGTTGCCTTGTTATTGTGTAGATATCGTCTCTGGTGTTAGAGCTTGGATCAGAGGTGGGACGCTGTGCGATGTTACAGTGGATGTAAAGTTGCCTTGTTTTTGAGTAGATATCGTCTCTGGTGTTAGAGCTAGCATCAGAGGCGGGACGCTGTGCGATGTTACAGTGGATGTAAAGTTGCCTTGTTATTGTGTAGATATCGTCTCTGGTGTTAGAGCTTGGATCAGAGGTGGGACGCTGTGCGATGTTACAGTGGATGTAAAGTTGCCTTGTTATTGTGTAGATATCGTCTCTGGTGTTAGAGCTTGGATCAGAGGTGGGACGCTGTGCGATGTTACAGTGGATGTAAAGTTGCCTTGTTATTGTGTATATATCGTCCCTGGTGTTAGAGCTTGGATCAGAGGTGGGACGCTGTGCGATGATACAGTGGAAGTAAAGTTGCCTTGTTATTGTGTAGATATCGTCTCTGGTGTTAGAGCTTGGATCAGAGGTGGGACGCTGTGCGATGTTACAGTGGATGTAAAGTTGCCTTGTTATTGTGTAGATATCGTCTCTGGTGTTAGAGCTTGGATCAGAGGTGGGACGCTGTGCGATGTTACAGTGGATGTAAAGTTGCCTTGTTATTGTGTAGATATCGTCCCTGGTGCTAGAGCTTGGATCAGAGGCGGGACGCTGTGCGATGTTACAGTGGATTGGAGGGGGTGGACCAGCAGTATCTCCTGTACAGACTGCACAGTCCCTGTTACCAAGGAAACCAGTCGTGCCGGGCTGTCCAATAGACTGGAATGCTGTGGATGTGCGGGCTGCCACAAGGCTAGTTCATTATGATGTATCTATACAAACTTAACCTACAATGTTAAAAATCTGTTTTATTAGATCATAATGTTATTCAAAACAGGTGCTTTTCATACATGGCATCAATCAGTCAATCATTTAGTCAATCTGTCTGGTAACAATTTTTGTAACCACTACAGTAGCTTTGATTTTGTATGGACACTGTATGTTTGAGACTGTAGCAGCTATTTTCGGAAAGTGTTAAAAGAATCTTGATGAAATTTATCCCATAGATAGAGAAAAGAACCCGATATATCAGCAGCAACATTACAGGATGTTCCATTGATGGATGCTAAGTGATGTCTAGAATCTCTGGTATCAGTCAGTGTACATGTAAAAACTTGTAACGTTTAGATGACTACGATGGGCGACACAACACTAGTACCTAGAAAGTCATTTAACGATTGGTCATCAGCCAGTTGATTAGTCCTATGCATGATTGTCAGACTGATTGTTCCTTGTATTAGCAATGTCTGGGATATCCCCATTTACAACTGTGACACTATCAGTAACTTTCTTGTTTCCAGGATTGTCCCTAGAAAAGCCAAACTAGATGTGGTGATCCAACATGAGCCGCCATGTCTACTAAACGAGTTTTACCTGCTGAGGCTTGACATGACTAACAACGAAGACACAGATATAGAAGACATCAGGTATGTATTACCATGACCTTGTACTGGAGGGCAAGGTCACATATCTAGGATAATCGTATCATACTACAGATGATACAAAAGTCACTAAAAGTCGGATGGTACAAAGATCATGTGACTGGTCACATGATGCAAAGGTCATGTAACCAATCAGATTATACGAAGATCATGTGACCGGTCAGATGGTACAAAGGTCATTCGACCAGTCAGATTATACAAAGATCATGTGACCAGTCAGATGATGCAAAGGTCATGTGACAAGTCAAATGATGCAAAGGTCATGTGACAAGTCAGATTATACAAAGATCATGTGACAAGTAAGATGATAGAAAAGTCATGTGACAAGTCAGATGATACAAGTCATGTGACAGATCAGAGGATACAAAAGTCATGTGTCAAGTCAAAGGATACAAAAGTCATGTGACAGGTCAGATGATATGTTGGGGTATACCTATATGTTAGTAATTATCTGTCTATTCACATGAATCTTGTGCACATGCTATCTTAATTTAACTGGACGGAAAACATATTGATTATGAAATAATACTTACACAATATTAAATCTTCAAATCTCAAATTACATGTGAAGTGAATTCCATGTTACCTATTGACCTGTTTCTTGTTGTCAGGTTATCCTTTGGTATCCAGGGAGATGAGACCGCCAGTGAATCAGAGCAGACATGTATGTTTACAAATAATTCCTAGTAATCTTACTACTGCTATTGTTGGTAGTTATTTTGAATTTTCTGCTTAATTTTAAAAAGATGTCTCAGGTTTGAGTATTTGTAATTACTGTGGGTGTTTTATTTTTCATGTGTATGAATCTTCATAGTAACTAAATACAGTATTACACAACCAAAACTCTTATGACACCATGGTTACAATCTCATGGAAAAAATGAAAATCTCTTTGCTACTTCAGAATTCAAACCTACTACTAACCATACAATTTGTAATTCTTAGATTTTTCACATGATGTCGAGGTAAAGAAATTGAATTCTGCTATATCTGTATGTAGTTTTAAGATCTTTATCGTTTATATTACAGCCCATGTTTGTCTAGAGACCCCAGAGTTTGACAATGTGGTGGAGTATAGCAGAGAAGACGTTGCACTCGTAAAACTGGGAACGGGCAAAAAGGTAGGCTGTATTACAGTTATGGGACAACTGTAGAATCACTTAGATACTGTTAGTCCCCCAACTTTGATCTTTGACAGTATTACAAGGTGATTGACATCACCCTGCAAGATCAAATATTTGTTCATTAAAACTTGTTAAGGTGGCTCCACACTTTCGCAATTAACCAGCAAAATTCGTTGAAACTTTCACATAATGGTTAAGCAACTATGTAGAGTTGATGAAAAGTTTATGAAAATCTAAACATTCTGATAGTTTGGGAACTTTTTTGGAAAAAATACCAAAAAATTGAATTTTCGTCAATTTTAATATTTTCCGGTTTTTTTTGTGTGTAACATTGTTCGGAACAATAACAACAATAATAAAATGAAAAGAAGCATTTCTAACTAACCCTGCAAATATTTTATTTATCGCAAAATATGTAACACATGTTACACAGTGTATTTATTGAATTTGTACGGATAAAAGTGATTATCTACAAGCTAAAAGCAAACAGGACACAAAAATCTATACATATAGAATGGGAAATTGAACAAAATGTACACAATGGGTTTATAATTAATTTATTTTACATTTTACAATCACTTCGATCCGGGTGAGAGTTATCTTCCTTGAAAAAAATCGGAACTTTTTGCAGAGGGGTGACATTTACACAATGACAGTCGTCTCTGTTTACATATAATAAAAATGATGAAAATAAATCAAAAATATGATATCAAAATTATCAATTTATTGTTCTTTAATGGAACCAAATTACCTTCAGTCATGTACACTTTGGACATCATTCCACAGTCCGCTAACTCACGGTATATTTATGATTACATGTCAGGTACATACATTTTGTATGTGACCAGAGGCTATCGCATGGTATGCTGTTCTCACGTGCACTCACACATGCATTTCATAGTTATCTTGATATTTTATAAAACATTATTTTCACAGAGTAAGTAGACTACATTTGTAAACACGATTTAATCGACAGAGCAAAACTCCCTCAACAGCGAAAATCTTAACAACCTCGAGCTTATGAACCCGTGTTGCACATGTGAGGTCGGTACGTCCGAATTCCATGCGTTTCCTATATGACCTTATTGAGGTCGTTTGGTCTCATGTCACTGTCTTCCCGTGAGTCTGTTCATGTCTATGAATTTGAAAGCTTTATTCCTGAAGTACGTGTACATACATTTCCCGGTAAAATCTCGATATCGGGTGTTGACATATCATCGGCACGCACGTGTACTATTGTTTACCAGGGGCCTGTTCGTTTATGCGGAGCAACCGGTTTGACCGTTTAAAAATGTAACAATTTCGGGTATAAATCCTGGCGGACCTGCAAACGTGTATGCAGGCCTTGCAAGGCTTTCTCAAGGCTCGCCTGAAAGCAGCATCAGATTGCTAGGTCCGACCTTATTTAATAAACGAACAACAGTGGTTCGATCGGTTTGACCGTTTAAACGAAAACGACCCAGGTGTTACTATAATTTGCACTACGATATTGAATGCCCGATACGCAATACGGAAATGACGACACGGTGTACATGCACATTTCGATCAAGATAGTTGAGTCCGAGCTGTACTTTTTCCGGAAGTACGTCACGAAAATGGACGTTGATGACGATGTGTGGAGCCACCTTAAACTCAATGATTTGAATAGTCATCTGATAAAACATTGTAGAAAATATTGACAAAATAAAATAATCATTGTATATTTTATGTTTCAGCTTTCTCGTCGTTTATTTGTCAAGAATATGCAGATTGGCACTAAGGTCCTTTTTGTAAAGGTATCTATCCTATAATAAAGTAATATGGGCTAGGACAAAAACATTTCATAATTAATTATTTTAGGCATATGATATTATGATATCAGTATGATAATGTTGTATATTTAATGAGTTCATTATATAAAGCCAACTTTCTTTATAATAGAGATCAAACAATATGCTACTGTATAACATGAAATGTTGGTTGTGTATAAACATTCGTGGTTATTGTGGTTGTCATTGAACCATGAAAATAAATACAATGAAGTTGAATGATATACTTGTCTACTGTTTGTTTATGTAGGATATCCACTAAAGTTTGTACAACGAAATGATCTAAATGGCGAATGCAAAAATGAATTCTACATTAAGCATGTGCGTGTATCATGAAGCTTCTAATTTCTGTTTGGCATTCATAATGACTATGAATGCCAACTGGAAGCAGTTCAGTACTTAAATATAAAGTAACAAAAGCATATGCAATGACATGTATGTTAACAGTTGGTGTATACAGAGATATGTATGTTAACAGTTGGTGTATACAGTGACATGTATGTTAAACAGTTAGTGTATACAGAGACATGTATGTTTACAGTTGGTGTATACAGAGACATGTATGTTAACAGTTGGTGTATACAGTGACATGTATGTTAACAGTTGGTGTATACAGAGACATGTATGTTAACAGTTGGTGTATACAGAGACATGTATGTT